GAGGCCAGCGAGAGCGAACGCGGACCGTGCGAGGACGGGGCGGTGGTGCAGCGCACACAGGTGCTGCTGCTGGCCGGCGAGCCGTGGGGGTCCGACGGGGGCCAAACCGTGCTCAGCTCCTTCGCGCACCACGTGCTGCCCCCGACGGGCGGCGCCTCGGCCAGCAGCCCGGCCGGCTGCGCTGCCCCAGGCGAGTCTGTTGCCAAGCAGCCGCTGCCAGCGCCCCATTCCCTGCCGTCCACGCCGTCGGGCCAGCTGATCTTCTTCCTGTGCCGGGCGTCGTCGCTGCGGGAGCGGCCCGAGCGGATGCGGCAGGTGTTGCAGGGCGTGCGGGATCAAAGCCGTGACGCCCCGGCTGCCCTAGTAGGTGTGATCGTGCAGCCGCGGCCCGACGAGGAAAAGCCGGCTCTCGCGCACCTCGAGAAACTGCTCCGTGAGATCTTCCAGTCCGAAAGCGCCGGGTCCATGGAGGTGCACACGGCCGTCTTCGCGCCAGGGCGACCCGACGGCGCCCTGGAGCTCAAGCGCGTCAAGAACGGGGCCTCCTTCCGGAGATCGGGTGAGGGCTGTGCAAGGATGGTTAGGCACAGAGAACGTCGTTGGGTTACCTATTGCTGAGGGAAGGTCCCTCTGCATATGTTCAGAGACCCTATTCATGCGGACCACATACCTTCATAAGCTCTTTGCAGAGCTTACATCAAGCACTGCAGGAAGCTACTGCTAAGAGGACACCCAACCGCGTTCACACAACAATAATAATAACCAGTTCAGCCTCGCGGCTGCATTTGCAAATATCAAGGTTGAGTCCTGTAGTGGCTTTTTTTGTGGCTCCACCTGAGCAAGGCTTTGCTAACCAGAAAGACTTCAAAGTCTGCATCACAGCTTAAGAGGAAGTGTCACACACCCCTCCCCCCATGTTACATCTAGCTCAACAGTTAGGTGAAAACTCCCTTTCAGAAGGAAAAGATGGAATAGAATTTGTAAACACTGCATAGTTTTTACTCATTCACTTACTGGATTTATCTCGTCTCTCTCCAAGAGAACAAAGGAGTATGCTCTTTATTCTTTCTTCTGTGTCAGAGTTTTCCTAATAGAGTTTCGTGGACCTCTGTGGTTCCAGGAGAATTTGATGGGATTCCACAAGAGACCAAGGGCAAAAGGAGAGAATGTTCACCCAATTTTGCATCACCAGAGTTTTGCCTCTGGATCAAAGGTTCTAGGATTTTATTTTATTTCTTACTAACAGGTTCCTCAAACTTTCCTGAAAAAGTTTGAAAAATTCCTACTCGGATGTTTTCCCTGCAACCAGAACTCCACAGGCGGGGTCAGAAAAGTCAAGATGGGCGTCACAACTGTGCAATCAAAGCCCCACTCCCTTTTTCTGTGGGTGTGGAACAGGAATGTAATTGTGTAGATCCAGCTGCCATCTTGACCTTTTGGACCCAGCCACGGATCCTGTTGCCCACAATAACAACCTTTTCAGATAGTGGGGGCTGAGAGAGAGTGGTTGGTCCTAAGATATCCACTGAGGGCTTCCTCAGTCATAGTCCCATGTTTTAGTCACGCTGTCACACCAGGGTGACTGTGTGTGAGAGAGGAAAGGCTATAGCACCAGAGAGCCTCTTTTTTATCATCTGTTGCAATGGGGCCAGTGTCCCCACCTGGCATCTTCAGGCACTGTTAAATGAGTTTTGGCCCCTTATGCTACCCTTTCCAATGCCAGGTCAGTTTATCAGTGAAGGGAAGGCTCACCAACGCTATTTTCTGGAGCACCCACAGTGGGTCAAAAGGTCAACAGGGCAGCTGCAAC